GCGTTTTCTAGCACTGCTTCCCGCTACTGCCCAAACATCCCCGCATCTCACGAAAATATGTATTTGATTATCGCCGTTTTCCCTTCCTTCCGGACCTCACACTCGTACCATTGGGCTTTGTTCCCGCGACGATGTACCCCAAGGCCAAGGCGACCCATGATCCCAGTGGGCAAATAATTTATGCCTGCGGGGAAACCATCAAGCATATGCCGCCGCACGCGCGTGCTATTGCGATGCCCCAAAGCACTTTGATGTCCCGCCCACCCGACAAGACCCGCTGTGAAGGTCCGCCTTCACCAAATCCACGCGTTACGTACGTATTGTCCGCTCGACCAAATGCGCCCCCTGTGCAAGCGCGCCAACTCGAGGGCGCATCATACTTTCATGTCCTGCCCGCCCGGCCAGATTCACCTGTTGGAGCCTGCCCACCCGACCCAATCTCGCCCGACGTGCGCGCCATCTCGCTGACAGATCGCACTTGAATGCCCCGCCCACCCGACCAGACCCACTGGTAGGGCCCACCTTTGCTTGCCGCGCGCGCTAGATGATGAGATGATGCCTTCTCCACCTGACTCGGCAGCTGCGCACGCGTGCCAACTCGAGGGCGCATCTTTTTGGACGCCCGAAATGGGTACGAAGAAACGGGTACGATGTTCAACAACAATTGTTGTCCTACGCCGAAAGCGGCCGCTGTTGGGCAGGCGGCGGTCTGTCTCGAATGGACAACGACCGCGGCGACGCCAACAGCGAACCCTGCCCAGAACGAACAAGAACTACTGCTGGACTTCGCACCCATCGTTTCCGCATTCATGTCGACCGTCCAGAATCATTATTTGATGTCCCGCCCGCCCGTCCCGATTCTGCACGCGTGCCACCTCGACGATACGTCGGACTGTAAGGTCCGCGCCTCCCGACCTGTCTGCCTCCCCGGACATGAGAACCATGTACCCCAATATTCATCTTGTACCCCAATATTGAACCGAAAACTCAAGAATGAGATCAAAAGCTTGAAACCTCAATTCCGGAGTTCCAAACTCAACTCTTGATTTTGCGGCTGCGGTTCAATCCTGGAGAACGAAGTTCAAGACCGAAATCATTTTTCAAGGTTTTCAATTCTCAAAAAAAAAAACGGGTCCAAATCCACGGCTTGTCATGATCTTTCGCGACGTCGGATCTCATGTATTCAAATAACATGCGGAAGTTGTTCGCCGTGTTTGGACTCTGGGGGCCCTCGCCTGGCCTCAGGACAGTCAAGAACCGACTCGTTGAGAAAAAAACGGCCCTGGGGAAATAGTCGGGCCTTCTGGGACCTCGCTTGGAAGAAAACACTACATCGGACCTCTGGGTACGTAAACCGCCACCCCCCCGGGACAGGGCCGAAGGTGTGCAGACCTCGTGGTCAAGGCCAGGAGGTTATGCACACCACCCGCGGGCCGAGGGTATGGCCCTAGCTGGGGATGGTGGCGTCAAGCTATGCCTTCGACGTGTCCTGCTGCTGCGTGGGAAGCTCCAGGAAGTCGAACTCCTCGCAGTCCTTGAACTCGTCGGCGTCTGGGCTGCACTCCTCGGCCGGCGGATCCAAAAATCCGAATCTCACAGCACGCCCACGGCCTCCTCCTCCCCCCGCAGCCTCTCGGGAAATCCGCATATTGTGCACACTCTCGTCGAGGCCCCGAGGGCAGCCAGGACAGGTGGAGGCAGCGGTGGGCGACACGGAGTGCGCATGATTTTCCCGCGGAGCGGTTCGCACAAGCCACGGTGGGCGCTCCATACGGGTGCGGGCAGTGGATAGGCAACCCTTAGATAAGAACACCAATTGACGCTTGCCCATGGATATCACCGCCGCCCTCATCAGATTCGGAACCATGCAGGGTCTGAAGCCCCCTGGCACATTCCTTAACGAACACCCCTACCGTAATAAAGGTTCGGATTTCCTGGTTGAAAAAGTTATTAAAATCTGGCTCTCAGCATTGAACTTACCAAACACTGACTTGAAGAACTCTCAAACGTGGAGTTGTCGTGCTGGACATCCCACCAGCCCCTTAGGGCGTGAGTCGCTGAACAAATTAGTTGTCCCACTTCGGCGATGCCTTTATCCCTCCCCCTACCGCCCTACCCTGAGTCTCGAGGGGGGTGGTCGTGGGTCGTTGGGGGGCCCAAGATGGTTCCAAGAGGGCTTCAGATGGACCAAGATGGCATCCAAGACGACACAAGAAAGCTCAAGATGGCTCAAGATACGACGGAGGATGGAAGAGGGAGGACAAAGAAGGATAAGGGAGGGCGAGGATAAAGGGAGGGGAAGGAGAGGTAAGGAACCGGAAGTAGCAGGGACGAGGGAAGATAGCCTCCAGCCTCCAGATCCTCCTCCTCCTCATCACCACCGTCATCGTCATCATCACCACCATCACCATCACCATCACCATCGCCATCATCATCATCATCATTATCATCATCATCATCATCATCATCATCATCATCATCATCAGCCGCAGCACCATCCAAAACATCATCAGTTCCATCATCAATAGCATCATCACCACCACCACGATCATCATGATCCTGATCATGCTCATGATCATGATCATCATCAGCATAATCATCACCATGATCATCGGCAGCATCATCAACATCGTCTTTATGATCATCAGCATAATCGTCTAAATCCTTTTCATCATCCTCTTCATAACCCTCTTCATCATCCTCTTCATCATCATCACCAGCAGCATCAGCATCGCCGTCACCATCTGCGTCACCATCACAGTCAGCAACCTCCTTACCATTATCATACATAACACCACTATCCTAAACTGAACACCATCATCACCATCATCACACTCATCGTCATCATCATCATCATCACCATCATCATCATCATCATCATCATCATATTCATCATCATCATCATCATCATCATCATCCTCATGAGCAGCATCCTCATCAGAATAAGTATCCTCATCATTAGCATCAACATCAGCAGCATCATCCTTATTATTAGCATCACGATCACCTCATCATCATCATCATCATCATCATCATCATCATCGTCATCAGCATCATCATCATGATCATCATCACCATCATCATCAGCATCATCATCTTAATCATCGTCTACATCCTGTCATCCTCTAAATATCATCCTCATCCTTCTGCTACTCAGACTCTGATCCTCCTCCCTCCCCTACTCCTCGTTATCCTCCTGCTCTTGCTCCCACAAACAACCTGACCTCCTCCGCCGCCTCCTCCAGCTCCTCGTCCCCCTCCTTTTCCCCCTAGGGGCTCCTGGGTTACTCGGCGTCGACGTCATCTCCGCCATCGTGGCCGTCGTCCCCGCCATCGTCGACTCGTCGTCGTAGTCGTCTTGTCGTCGTCGTCGTCGTCGTCGCTGCCGCCGTCGTCGCCGCCGCCGTCGTCGTCGTCGTCGTCGTCGACGTCGTCGTCGTCGTCGTCGTCGTCGTCTTGTCGTCGTCGTCATCGTCGTCGCCGCCGTCGTCAGCGCCGTCGTCGTCGTCGTCGTCGCCGTCATCGTCGTCGCTGCCGTCATCTGCTGCTGATGCTGGCCTCGTTCTGTGTTCGGCCGACGCCCGCTCTGTCCGGCCGACGCCCACTCCTCGGCCCACTGCCTTTCCTTCTCCTACCCCACCTGCGGGAATTGGCCCCCAAAGGGTGTGGGGGCCGCGAGGCCCACTCTGCGTTAGGGCACGCCACGAAGGAAACGCAACGCCGCACGCGCCTGCCCGGCCCGCCCCGGCCCTCAGGAGTGACAGGCGGGCCCGAAGGCCCAGACGCGCACGCAGGCGAATCCCTGGTGGGCGCGAGCCCGCTGCCCCCGCCGCGCTGGCCCACGGGCCCTCTGGGGTGGCGGCGCTCGCGGCGGGGCGGTCACAGCCCCAAGGGGCATTCCCAACATGTTGATAGTCCAATCGATACTCCATCCCCCTCCTTCTCCCTCTTACCCCATCCCTCCCACCCCCCCTCCATCCACCACCCTCAACAATTTCTCAATATGAATACTACTCTCCCTCTTCCCCTGATGACAGTTTGAAAATATTAGCCCCCCCCCGCGTACTGTTTTTTTACACACAGGATTCCCCGGAGTTGGGTTTTCGCCTGCATTATTTTCCAAAATGCTGCTCTCGCTGAGGCGCCGGCCTCATTTTCGGGCCCCGCTCGTTCCGAATCGTGCTCCCGCTGCAGCGCTGGCCTCATTTCCGTGCTTCCGCTCGTTCCGAATCGTGCTCCCGCTGCAGCGCTGGCCTCATTTCCGCGCTTCCGCTCGTTTCGACTCGTGCTCCCGCTGCAGCGCTGGCGTCATTTCCCGTGCCATGCCACGGCATGCAATGCAATGCTAGGTTGATACTACGCTTTGCGGTGCTCTTCTACGCCATGCCACGCCGTGCTCTACAATGCATCACGTACCCTTTCGGGATCATTACCCTGCTCGACATCCGACTGTGCGAGTAGAGAGGGGATCTACGCCATGGTAAGGGATGGGAGGGAGGGGTAGGATGTCAGATATGACGCGAGCGCACCAAGCTTGTCCAACCCCCCTCCCCCGCCCCTCCCCTTCCGCTCCTCCTCCCCCTCCCGCACACTCTCCTGCGCGCGCGGGCGCGCGGGCGCGCAACGCCGGGCCCCTCGACGTCCACGACGCCCGACGCACGACGACGACGCGGTCCTCCAGCGCGCCAGCCCCGGCGGCGGCCGGGCTCGTCGGCGGGCAGCGCTCCCTGGCGCGCCCTCGTTCGCCGGTCGGCTTGGCGCGCGCCTGGCGAACAGCGCGCGGCGCTGTCGGCGAAGGGGGCCGGAGTGCGAGCAGAAGAAGGAGCAGGAGGGGTACGAGGAGGAGTAAGGGAGGAGGAAGAGAAGGAGGAGGAGCAGGAGGACGAGCAGGAGGACGAGGAGGAGGAGGAGTGAGGGAGGACGAGGAGGAGGAAGAGAAAAAAGGGCCCAAAGAGAAGAGGACGCAGGCGGCCAAGACCAGGGACGGAAAAGAATCCGTCCAGGGGCAAGGGAAATCCTACTCCTCTTGGGAGCTTTCTTTCCGCGAGCGAGAAGCCCCATTCTCGGGTTCAGCGCAGAAGCGTTTGCAACCCAGGCCACCGTCTCATCGGCTTTTTGAAACGCGCGGTGGCCATCCGTCGCACAGGGATTCCCTCTGGGCGATCGCAATTTCCTTAATATTGTGATACACCAACTCAATGTTGCTTCAGAGCTTGGGCGGGGAACTGCGTCAGCAGTAAAGTGATTATCTTACTGTGGCAATTATCCCGTGAACATAACAAGTCTTCGCGGGGACTGTATATACATATATATACACACATATATACTAGAACCACGCGCGCGCTTCGCGCGCTTCGGTTCTAGTCACTCCCGCGACCACGCTCAACACCGCCAATGCCGCCACGGCTACCACCACCCTTTCCGCCATCACCGCGGTCACGACCATTTCTGATGCCATGTCCATTCTGAGCATGACCACCCCATCCACAACGATTGCACTGTCCACGACCACTATAACGGCCATTGGTTCAACCTCTGTCTGTACCGCCACCAATACCACTACCATTGCCACTGCCACTGCCGCGAATCCACGACCACTATCATTACCACCACGGCAAGTGCCACTTCACGACCAGGACGTCCCGAGATCTTTTCAAGGCGGGGACTCGGATGAACGAACGGCTGCGCGTCCTGGCGCTCAGCTGTGAGGCACCATCAACCATCAACTATAGAGAGAAAAATGAGACAGAGCATGTGTGCGCACGCATGTTCGAGAGGGTTCGGGGGGGCGGGGGACCAGAGAAGCTATGTGATGCAAGAGAGAGCGGAGCCAAAGGGGCGACATAATGAAAACCCCCTCTTGACTCCTTCACGTGCAAGCACAAACCAGGACGTCCCGAGATCTTTTCAAGGCGGGGACTCGGATGAACGAACGGCTGCGCGTCCTGGTGCTCAGCTGTGAGGCACCATCAACCCAAGCCGCCCCCAAGAATGTTTACTGGGTGGGCGGGCAAGGGCGATTATATAAAGACGCGCGCCATTCGCTCAAGAGGACTTTGGCGAGCTTCCTATTGAGGGCTGGCGGATAGGCAGCAGCGATAGCGGTCCATTTCGCACCATTCGGGGCGTTGCCATCAAGCACGATGTGTTGACGGCCAGACTTGCTACAGGTTCCGTTGATCTGGTTACACCGACGATCGAGACAGCTGCTATCATGGACATCTATGTTCAGACACAAGAATCTCGTTCGCTTGCGCCAACGAGCACCTTCCTGGCACTGGTCGAGACATCTTACTACGGCCCCCCGATCAATAAACCCCTGAACCTCTCTCGTGACAAAAACGCGTGAATTCACAGGATGCTCGAGTATACAGGGAACTCTGAACTTCTCGCAACATCTGATGACAGACAGCGCGGCACGCATGGTCTCATTGCCAGACGCCAGGCGAGCAAGCTGCTTTGCACTCAGAAGATGCTGCGGGAGTCCCCAGGGCTGCGATGCCGAGCGGATGGCCCCCACTCGGTCGGCAGCGGTGGTCCAGGGCCCACAAGGCGGTGCCAGCATCACGGCCAAGACGCGGCTTGCAGCGATGTCGGAGCACAAGCCTCGCAAGACCTTTCGTCGGGTAAGGTCGCCGCCTGGCCCGTGCAGCGTGTCCCAAAACCTGGCTGGCACGCCCATTGCCATTGCGGCGCGCCCAACGCCTCCTTTGCCACTGAAGCAGTCGGCCAGGTATTGGCCAGTCAGGCGTGGTCGAGCTCCCGCAAGTCGACCGGCGAGGCGCGACCCAAAATGATGTCCGCGAGCTGAGCCTCGCAGACCAGGAACACGTTTTGCTGCGCGCTGCTCAGAATCGCCCATGTGGCTGCCAGGCGTGCGTGCTTCTCGTAGCGGACGACGCTGCGGTTGGTCTTCCACTGTCCGCGCTTCTGCACGTCGGCCAGCCGCCTCCACCTCCTTGCCATGTCTATCGAGGCCCCTGAGTGGCGCATCTGATACGGCACCACCTTGGCCTTTACCCGCAGGTCCTGGAGGCATAGGCTGAACATCTTGCAGTACTCTGGGCACGTGAAGTTCCACGGGCACTCGGGGTGCCCCTCCTTCTTCATTTGACGCAGCACGGGGTCCAAGAAGCGAATCCAGGGCGAGTCTAACTCTAGCGACACGTCCCCCAGGCCCGTCTTGTCCCGCAGGTCCTCCTCCTCCGGGAAGAGCCTCAAGGTCCAGAACTCGCACCCCCCCGCCGCTGGCGGCACCAGGCAGGCCGGCTTCAGAAGCAAAAGGCTGCTGGGGCGGGCGTGCACGCTCACCGCTATCAACGTGAACACCGCCATCTGGAGGCTGCCACGGGCCTTCATGCGCCACGCCATTGCGCACCACAGCGCCAACGCCCACGGCTTTCTCGTCCGCGGCGGCTCCAGGCGCCGCCAGGCCCGGAGGCATCTCCAGCCCCGGGGGGGGCGCCGGGCACCGTAGCGCGAGAAGTCGGGGTTGAAGTGCAGGACGCCAGCCATCAACTTCTCGGCCCAGGAGAGGTGAGTCCCAGCCTGGTACAAGCCGTTCAGGTAGCTCACCAACGCCGAGTCTACCACGGAGTCGTCCCTGCTCTTCATGACCTCGTCGATGTCCACCGAGGGCCAGCTCCGACGGGCAAAGTCCCGCCATCCGTCCCAGGCCCTCTGGTACTCGCGCTGCGTCGGGGTCCGCACGGCCTCCCGCTCCAGGAGAGAGAAGCCCTCCTCGCCGGTGGGCATCCCGTAGTGGCGGGCTCGGCGCTTCCGCGACTGCGCGAGCCTGCGCTGCCGCGCGGCGCCGATCACGACCTCGGGCTCGGAGCTCCCGCTGTCGGAGGAGCCGACGCTCTCTCGCGCTCCCCGCGCGGGCTCCGCTGGCACAGGTACCTTCGTCAGGTCCTCCACCACTAGCCCCAGGCTCCGCGGCAGGGGGCGGCTCAGCACAGCCGTCTTCAGGAGCCCCGACTCGCCCAGCTGACGCTCCCGCCGAGCTGCCGGCAGCGGCTGCGGCGCTATCGGCGGCGCAGGGACAAGCTGCCGCGTGCGCCTCGCCTCCTGGCCGCGGGCTGACGGCTGCAGGCCAGGCTCCGGGCAAGACGGCGCCAGCTGCCGCGTGCGCCGGCGGCCCGTCTCGAGCCTCGCGCCTCGCCTGGCCTGCTGGGGGCCCCGAGAGCGGCCCCGCCCGTCTGGCGCTTGAGGGCGCGCAGGCAGCATCGCGGGCCGCGGCGCCATCGGCCGCCCGCTCGGGCGCGGCCCAGGCGGGAACCCGCCCTGGGCGCGCCTGGGAGCTCTCGAGCTCCAACAGCTCAGCCAGAAGGGTGGACTTTGCGCCGTCAGGATCAAATTAGCCGTGAGGGAAGGTCGGCACAGTTGAGCTCACTGGGTATCCAACGAATCGAACAACGAATGTTTCGGCTTAGACAGACAGCGTGAAATCGACGAATCTGAACCAACAAGTTGAAACACGAACTCCTTCCCCGATTGAAGCTTAGCACGACCGACATATTGTCGCAGAGCAGTAACTGACGTATATGGGACCCAAAGACCGTGGTGGCGATGCGATGGATGCTGCTGACCAGGGCTCGGGCCTCCAAGGTCAAGATGCCCTCAGGGTGCTGCCAGGCTCTCGCGAAACAGGGCCCCCACAGGCCTGCGCGGAGCCCCTGGGCGGGCACCTCCGGGAAGTCCCTCACGACGTCCCACTGGCCCAGCTCCTCCTCATCTTCGGGAAGGCCCTTGAGTTCCCATTTTCCACTCTCACTCATACCGAAGCCAGCTGCACAAAGCGCAGCCTCTCGAGCACTGCGCGCGCAGCGCCGGCGAAAGCGGGCCCGCTCAGGCACGCGCCCGACTGACTCCACCAGCTCCTGCGGCCAGAAAGCCCTTGCCAGTCCGTAGCCGTGAAGACTGGCATCTGACTGCTGCACCATCGGATTCCAAGGCAGCCACCAATCTGACTCCAGGAAGTACATCAGGGAGCTGAAGGCGGCCAGCTCTCGCCGCGCCTCGGTCCATAGCACGGCCGCCTCGTCGTAGTGGGCTCGCACAAAGCCGTGCACTGAATTGAAAGCTGACAAGGTGCCGCGCGAGCAGAGGCCACAAAAGGTTAGGTGGCCCAGCACTGCCTCCACGGCCCAGCCCTTGACACGGCGGCGGGCTAGGGGGCCCCGCACGGCCTGGCGGCAGCGCCAGAACCGATCACTGGTCACTCGAGTGCGCAACTGGCTGCCGTCGATCTCCGTGCCAAGCGCCACTGCCATGCCCGGCACCAGCTCGTCCTTGTGCAACAGTAGGTTCAGCTCGGTGAGCTCGCCCGTCAGCTGGTTCATCACGCCACTCACGAGCTCAGAGAATAGCGAGAAGACCCCCAAGTTGTCGACGTACACGTAGTGCCTGACCTCCTGGAGCGCCCTGCCAGGCGCGAACACGAGCGGCGGCCCATGGTCTGACAGACTGGGCCCCCTGAGGAGCGCGCTGCTGCGGCGGCTTACCTCCTCGTTGGCCCGCTGGGCGAAGTAGAGAGACCAGCTGAAGCCCATGGGCAAGACCTGCCAGCAAGGGTAGATGGCCGTCGACGCCTGCACCTTGGCCCCCTCGACCTCGGTCACGCCGAAAGCCCCAGCCTTGACAGGCGGCAGGCAGAAGTGTTGCGAGAGGGCTGAATCGATCCGCATTCGATGAAAGCAGTCCTTCACGTCCGCCATGCCGATGTACACCTGCTGCGCCTCCAGCGCGGCGCGGAGGTCCTCGTAACTCGAGAAGCCCGCGCCTGGCATGTGCACCTCGACTCTGGCGAGGCCCTCGCTGCTCAATAGCTCCACCCCAGGAGGATCCCTGAAGTGGGCGTTCGCGCGGCGGGCGTCGACTATGAGGCGAAGTCGGCGCCGCCCATCCTTCCACACAAAGAACATCCCAATTCTCTCTTTCGGTGTCAGAGTCCACCCCAGAATGCCAGCTGACAGCAGCCGACGCACCAGGCCGCGGTACTCCTTGTGGTTGAACTTGAGGACCGAGTCGAAGTACGGCTCGACGTCGGTCGGCAAAGGTGACTCTCGTAGCATGCGCTCTTGGCGCTCCCGCAGGAAGGCAAGGGCCTCGCCAGGCAAGAGGTCCTCAAGACGCGGGCAGTCGCTCACGTCCGTCGGCATGCTGACGAGCCCTGCACTGTAGGAGGCGACCGTCGTCGGGCCGCCGCGCCCGTCATATGGCGAGCGGCCCCGCAGCAGCTCCCGGAGGGCCGCCTGCGGCTCCTGCAACTTGGCGTCCGGCTGCCGGCCCCGAACGAGGCCCTCGAAGCGCGCAAGTACATCCCGCTGCATGTCATTGGCTGGGCCAGGCAGCGAGTCGTACCCCGACATCCAGTTGGTGGCGTCGACGATCCCATTGACCTCCAACGCAATCCGAGTCTCGCGACCGGACTGCCTCGCCCTGCTAGACCTGCCGCGAATTCGGCGGCCTGCGTCGCCCAGCAGCGGGAGCGGCAGAAAGCTGCGGGCTCCTCGCGAGGGCGGCAAGCGGCCACCGTCGTGCCCCGGCAAAAAGGGCCCGGGGGAGGGGCTGAAGCCCCCGGGCCCGGGGGCCGTCATGGCCCCGTGGAGGCGACGCACCTGGCCCGGCCGCGCCCGCGGCCGCCTCGGCCGCCACCGCGCCCCGCACCTGCTGCGTCACCTCCAGCTCCTTCTGCTCCGTCGACTGTCTCTGAAGGCGCCCCGCGTAGCGTACGCGCCCGATTCTGCGCCTGCTCCATCTCGTGCTGCTCCTTCGCCCGCCGGTGGACGTAGCCCCTGAGCTCTGGCCCTGAGACGTCCTCCACCGAGCTCACGCCCTCGAAGAAGCGCGCGTTCGTCCAGCTCGGCTTGGACGGGTCCGCGTAGGCGTCCACCGCTGCGGCCACGCGGCGTGTCAACACCTCCACCATCATCAGGCCGCCCATGTTCAACTGGTCATATACCCCGCCCTGGTACAAGGCCTCCACGATAGTCCTCAGCTCGTGCACCGCGCGGTCATTCTGCCCGAGGCCCTTCATGCGGATGAAGAGGTCGAGCCAGAGGCGCGGGTCGCCACCGTGCCTTTCCATGTGCTTGCACATGTGGAGAGCCCCGGGCGGTCCCTCCACCTTCGCGTCTGGGTGGCGCTCCTGCCTCGACTCGCCTACCACGTCCCGCCATCGCTTGAACCGCTCGCCCTGCTCGTCGTAGTCGACCCAGAGCGCGCGGGCGTCGGCGTCACGCTCCTCGCCCAGCGGCTCCGCCAAGGGCGGCAGCGCCAGCTCGGGCGTAGCCGTGCCGCCCACGGGCTCGGCGGGCTCCTCATCCTCGAGCGGCGCTGTGGCTGCAGCACGTCGGCGCTCGGGGCCCAGGGCACGCGCTTGGCCTCCGTCCAGGCCATGCCAGACTGCGGCCGCCTCGGCCACGCGCCCAGGGGCCGACCCTGCGTCCAGCCGGGCGAGACGCACTATGCCGCCGTCGGCGGCCCTCAGCACACCGAGCGGCTCGGGCCCGTCCTCGAAGCTCAGGCCCTCGATGTTCGCCACGTCGACCTCCGCTCCGATCGCAACGCCGGGCCCGCCGCTGAGGGCGATCCAGGCCTGACCCGCACCAGGAGCCTCCAGCAGCTTCCCGCCCAGGCGAGCCACGGCCATGCCCAGGCGCAGCAGGCCGGCCCGCTCCGCGGCCGACAGCTTACCAGCAGCCTCCTGCCAGGTGACCCGCTGCCCGCCCACGTCCACGGCCTCCCTCGGCTCAGGCAAGGCGGCGTCCATCTCCAGCGCCGCCTGACGGCCCCGCGTCAACGCGTCGGCCAGCTCGTCGGGCCCCAGCTCCTCTCGGAAGCGATACAGCCTCCGCATCTTGCGCGTCCGCAGCGCCAGCGGGAAGGCTCGGGCAGGCCCAGTCTCGGGGTCCCCACAGCTCATGTCCTCAGCGTAGATGTCACCATCTGGGGTCAGGACGACCCACTCGCCTTCCGCCACGTAGTGCAGCAGCACCCGCTCGTGGTCGACGTCGTCGTCGGCGAAACGGCAGACCACGTGCTCCCCTGGGAGCGCTCTAGTCCACCACTCCCGCCCCGCGTCGCCGCGGAACCACCCCACGAGCGACACCATGCCTGCGAGCGAACACCTTCGCCACCAGCCAGTGCACCAGGCCTCCAAGCAGCGCTCCAGCGAGCTTCTCAGCCGCCTTCTCGCCAGCCGACGCCTCCGGGCACGCCCTCACCTCGCAGGCCGGGCAGGCCGCGCACGGCGGCGGCTCGCAGGCCGGGCAAGCCGCGCAGGGAGGCGGCTCGCAAGCCGGGCAGGCCGCGGCCTCCGGGCAGGCCGCGCACGCCGCCGCCTCTGGGCACGCTGGGCAGGCAGGGCACGAGAGGTCTGGGCAGGCCGCCTGTCCTGGGCCCCAGCCTGGCCCAAAGAAAGCCGCGGCCTCCAGCGCCAGCACCACCCAGGCCGGCAACGCGGCCGCCCCGCCAGGGATGACGACCGCGTCCATCGACTCTGGACCAGAGAAGCTATGTGATGCAAGAGAGAGCGGAGCCAAAGGGGCGACATAATGAAAACCCCCTCTTGACTTCCTCCACGTGCAAGCACAAACCATCCTAATCGTCGGTAGGACCACAATCGGCGCATGAACTGAAGCCAACTGCAGCCATCACCACCACGACCCCTCCAGGGCTCTCCTGGGGGCGTCTTCTGGGCCCCTTAGCGCTGTCTTGGGAGCCTTTTGGGGCTCACTTGGAACCCTCTTGGGCCGTCTTGGGGCTCTGATGAGATGTCTTGGGGTCCTCTTGGGCCGTCTTGGAGCTCTCTTGGGCCCCTCTTGGGGGCCTCTTGGCCGAATTGGGGATCCCACTTCTTCTTCTCACATCCTCGTTATTCAGTGTTCACCTCTCTTCGCCTATGCTCGTTTTCTCGCCCTTCCTCCCCTCGTCCTTCTGCGCACTTTTCCTGCTCAGCCTTCCCTCTTCTTCCTCCTCGTCCTGATCTTTTCTGCATCTTCCCTCCTTCCCCCTGCTCCTCCTCCCTTCCTCCTCTTCCTTCTCCCTCCCCCCCGCGTGGATCTCCGCTGGAGAAGCCTCCGGAAACTCTGGGAGGCCAGGTTCGTCTGGGGCGTTTTGGGAGCCTTTTGGGGCCTCCTTGGGACCTCTGGGGGCGGAGGGCTTGAAATGTTCGTAGGGCATCCTCTCTGGGCCCCTGCTTGGGGCCGTCCTGGGTCTCTCTTGGGCCGTCTTGGGGACCTCTTGGGCCAGCCAGGGGCCCTTCTGGGCTGTCTTGGAACCCTCTTGGGCTGTCTTGGGGCGATCCTGGCGGCCTCTCGGGCCGTCTTCGTTCCCCTGGAAGGGCAAGATGCGAATCCCTGAAAAATGTACGTTTTCCGACGGGGACGGGGCCATTTCTGTATCTTGGGGCCCTCTTGGGAGGGCTCTTGGGGCCCTCTTGGGCTGTCTCGGGGGCTCCCGGGAGCCCTCTTGGAGCCATCGTCGGCATCTTCAAGCCACATTTCGAGGCTCGTGCGCCCTCTTGATCTGTTTGGCAGCCTCCGGCGCCCTCGGGAGCCGTCCCAGGGGCGCCCCAGAGGCCCCGGTACCACCATGCGCGCTCGAGGTCGCGGTCCCGAGCCCCCAGTCGCAGCTAGGCTTGATCGGCCAACTCATGTAATCTCATTTTGGTCGCTTCCTGCGTCCAGGGACTCCTTTGGAGGCCCTGCGCAAGCCTCGGAATTGTATAGAACGGGAAATACGGAAACGCAGAAATCATCAATTAATTTCCTTTAAATATTCAACGATTTGAGGCCCTCAAAGGCTTCCTGGGTTTTTTGGGGGGAGGTGAGGGGGTCTGAATTGTGGTATGTTGTGCAAGAGTAGACCAGGGGCCAAACTTGAAAAACAATTACTCCGACGGAAGGACCCCACATGAGAATCCTCTGGGCGAATCTGGAAAAAGCCCTCACCGTCGTCCTCGTGGTTGGTGAGGCGTCCTGGCTGTCTCTTCTGCGTATATTTTTTCTCGCCGTGGCGCGGGCCCTCCCCCCGCTCCCTACGTTGCCCCCGACCTCGCCCTCCTGTTTTGGCCCCCGACATTCAGAAAGTGGCCCGGGAGTTGTGTTCTGGGAACACGAAGATCACGAAGTGGCCTACAGTTGGCTCCGGGCATTCAAAATGTGGCCCAGGAACGGTGTTCTGGGAGCACGAACAACACGAAGTGGCCTACAGTTGGTTCCGAGCATTCAAAATGTGGCCTGGGAGTTGCGTTCTGGCAGCGCGAGAGCCCAAAAGTGGCGACAGTTGAAAGAATCGGATGACCCGCTCGGATCAATAACATGTTCCGCGGGCCCCATAGGGAGGGGGTTCCCGCTTGAGACTTCCTCGCAATTCACTCACAAATGTGGTCTGGGAATGGCGTTCTGGCAGCGCGAGAGCCCCCAAAAAGGCAACAGTTACAAAAATTATATGACCCGCTCGGGTTAGTAGCATGATCCGCGGGCCCCATAGGGAGGGGGCTCCCGCTTGAGACATCTTCGCAATTCACTCACAAATGTGGCCTGGGAGTGGCGTTCTGGCAGCGTGAGAGCCCAAAAGTGGCGACAGTTGAAAGAATCGGATGACCCGCTCGGATCAATAACATGTTCCGCGGGCCCCATAGGCAGGGGGCTCCCGCTTGAGACTTCCTCGCAATTCACTCACGAATGTGGTCTGGGAATGGCGTTCTGGCAGCGCGAGAGCCCAAAAGTGGCGACAGTTGAAAGAATCGGATGACCCGCTCTGATTAATAACATGATCCGCGGGCCCCATAGGGAGGGGGCTCCCGCTTGAGACTTCCTCGCAATTCACTCACAAATGTGGCCTGGGAATGGCGTCCTGGCAGCGCGAGAGCCCAAAAGCGGCGACAGTTACGGGAATCGGATGACCCGCTCGGATTAGTAACATAATCCGCCGGCCCCATAGGGAGGGGGCTCCCGCCGGAGACTTCCTCATAATTCACTCACAGACGAAGCCCAAGGCGAGTGAGTGAGTGAGTGAGTGACTGACTGACTGACTGACTGACTGGTGATGATGAAGATGATCATCACACTCTCTCACGCGCACACTCATCATCATCATCATCATCATCATCATCAGCATCATCATCATCATCATATGTGACTGCTGATGAGTCAGTGAGTGAGTGAGTGAGTGAGTGAGTGTGTGAGGGATGATGAGTGAGTGAGTGAGTGGGGAATGAGTGATTGATGATGATGATGATGATGATGATGATGATGGTGGGTTCCTGTTCCTGCGCGGTGTGTCCAGAGAGCACAAGAACCCCACTTTGGATGTGGGGAAAAAACAAAAAACAAAAAAAATGTGGGATGTATGTTTCCCAACCCTCCTGCGTTGGGTGCTCGTTTTGAATAGAGCACTGCTCGCGCGAATCCCGCCCCCCTCTTCCCCCTGCCTTTTACCTGGCTCGTCGCTGCGTTTCGAGGGCTGCTGGGGCTGCGATCTGTGAAACTGTCGCCACTTTCGAAGGCTGCTGGGGGGCCCAGCACAGTTTGCACCCGCGGCGGACTCAAATGGGACCTCGCCATCCCTGGGGGGCTGCGATCTGTGAAACTGTCGCCACATTCGAGGGCTGCTGGGGGGCCCAGCACAGTCTGCACCCGCTGCGGACTCAAATGGGGCCTTGCCATCCCTGGGGGGCTGCGATCTGTGAAACTGTCGCCACTTTCGAAAGCTGCTGGGGGGCCCAGCACAGTCTGCACCAGCGGCGGACTCAAATGTGACTTCGCCATCCCTGGGGGGGGGGGGCTGCGATCTGTGAAACTGTCGCCACTTTCGAAGCCTGCTGGGGGGGCCAGCACAGTCTGCGCCCGCGGCGGACTCAAGTGGGACCTCGCCATCCCTGGGGGGCTGCGATCTGCAAAACTGTCGCCACTTTCGAAGGCTGCGGGACCCAGCACAGTGGGTACCCACGGCGGACTCAAATGGGACCTCGCCACCCCAGCACCGTCTGCACCCACGGCGGACTCAAACTACACCTCGCCATCCCTGGGGGCCTGCGATCTGCGAAACTGTCGCCACTTTCGAGGGCCGCTGGGGAGCCCAGCACAGTGGGTACCCACGGCGGACCCAAATGGTACCTCGCCATCCCTGGGGGGCTGCGACCTGCGAAACTGTCGCCACTTTCGAGGCCTGCTGGGGGGGGGGGGGGGGGCAGCACAGTGGGTACCCACGGCGGACTCACATGGGACCTCGCCATCCCTGGGGGGCTGCGATCTGTGAAACTGTCGCCACTTTCGGGGCCTGCTGGGGGGGCCCAGCACAGTGGGCACCCACGGCGGATTCAAGCTAGACCTCGCCATCCCTGGGGTGCTGCGATCTGTGAAACCGTCGCCACTTTCGCGGCCTGTTGGGGGGGGGGCATCGCAGTGACGCCACGCGCAGATTCAAATTAGACATCGTCTTCCCTTGGGGTCTGCGATCTGCGAAACTGTCGCTGCTTTCGACGGCTGCTGGGGGGCCCAGCACAGTGACGCCTCCCAAGTAGCTTACACATCAAGTTGATCGTCCATGCAAGTTTCGGCCAACTCATCGTTTCCACTGATACAAATGGGCTGCGTACGTAACAAGGTAAGTTCCCAACCCTCCTGCGTTGGGTTCTCGTTTTGAATAGAGCACAGCTCGCGCGAACCTTCCTTCCTTCCTTCCCGTCCCTCTCTTCCCTCCTGCCTTTGACCTCGCCGTCCCTGGGGGGCTGCGATCTGCGAAACTGTCGCCACTTTCGAAGGCTGCTGGGGAGGCCAGCAGGGAGGGTACCCACCGCTGACCCAAACGAGACCTCGTCGTCCGTGGAGGGCTGCGATCTGCGAAGCTGTCGCCGCTTTCGAGGGCTGCTGGGGAGGCCAGCAGAGAGGGTACCAACCGCGGACCCAAACTGTACCTCGCCGTCCCTGGAGGGCTGCGATCTGCGAAACCGTCCCCACTTTCGAGGGCTGCTGGGGAGGCCAGCGGAAAGGGCACTCACCGCGGACCCAAACGGTACCTCGCCGTCCCTGGGGGGCTGCGATCTGCGAAACTGTCGCCACTTTCGAAGGCTGCTGGGGAGGCCAGCAGAGAGGGTACCCACCGCCGACCCAAACGAGACCTCGCCGTCCCTGGGGGGGCTGCGATCTGCGAAAATGTCGCCACTTTCGGGAGCTGCTGGTGGGTCCTGCGGAGTGCGGCGCCGCGCGGACCTGAGCGGGACCTCGCCGTCCCTGGGAGGGTGCGATCTGCGAAACTGTCGCCACTTTCGAGGGCTGGTGGTGGGTCCTGCGGGGTGAGGCACCGCGCAGATCTGAACGGGACCTCGTCGCCCCTGGGGGGCTGCGATCTGCGAAGCTGTCGCCACTTTCGAGGGCTGCTAGTGGGTCCTGCAGAGTGAAGCACCGCGCGGACCTGAGCGGGACCTCGCCGTCCCTTGGGAGCTGCGATCTGCGAAGCTGTCGCCGCTTTCGAGGGCTGCTGGTGGGTC